TGAGGAATTCTGGGAGTTGAAGTCTACAAGTCTAAAAGTTGCCAGGTTTGGAGACCCCTGAACTAGACATCTAATTCTAGAGAACATTTTCTTGTCCGGTCCTTGGTCCTCTCAACGTCATTGCTTTAGGGCAGTGGTTGCCAAACTTGGCAACTTTAAGACTTCAACTCCCAGTTGGCTGAGGAATTCTGGGAGTTGAAGTCCACAAGTCTTAAAGTTGCCAAGTTTGGGAACCACTGCCCTAAAGCAATGACGTTGAGAGGACCAAGGACCGGACAAGAAAATGTTCTCTAGAATTAGATGTCTAGTTCAGGGGTCTCCAAACCTGGCAACTTTTAGACTTGTAGACTTCAACTCCCAGAATTCCTCAGCCAACTGGGAGTTGAAGTCTTAAAGTTGCCAAGTTTGGAGACTTACAGTCTGGTCAATTGCTCCCACAATATACTCTGAATTATTATTTTTTTTGATGGACAGCTATGGCAACATGGCAACCTGTGGCTGACTTGGGAATTCTGGGAGTCCACAGGTCCTAAAGTTTCCTTAATTGTCCACCCCTGCTGAAGATGGAAAGTTTAAGTACCTTCAAATAAGCTCTCATTATGTTAAAACTATGTTAAAAAAAAAAAAACTAAAACTATGTGAAAAAAAACACTGTCTGGATGTTCCTTTTTTCCCCTACCCTGGCCTCTGTTCAGGGCCCCTTGAATTGGCTTCTTGGACTCTGCCCAGTTTTGTACTTTGACTTTTTTTCTCTTTTTATGCCTCCTGACTTGGAACTGTGATGACTTGCTATAACTGTTTGTAGGATGGCTTTACCGGAACTGCAGAAACCTGAATGGCCATTAGAGGGCAGCAAAGAGATACACAGACAGACAGACAGACAGACAGAGTAAGCTAGGTTAGCAGCTGAGCCAGAAAAGGATTTGCAAGTTTGTAAAAGATGATTTACCTGCTTTGACTTTGCCGTTGGTGGAAATTGCAGAGATGGAGAGACCAGTAATGCTGGTCACCACAGAGGACATGAGAATGATCAACCAGGTTAGCCCTGAAAGAACAAGGAACATACGGTAGTTTGGAAGCATGGCTGTCTTAATATCCATGGCATAATAATGTACGCATTTAACAAAGAGGTGACCAATGGTATTATGTTCTTTTTAATACAGGTAGTGCTAATTTAACGACTGCCCTGTTTAGCAATAATTCAAAGCTATGGTGAAGTTGAAAAAGTGATGTTACAACCGGTCCTCACATTTATGACCATTGCAACATTCCCATAGTCACGAGATTTGCCATTTGTGGGTTTCCACAATTCTGGCATGCAGGGTCATAGGAGAAGTCAGCAGTACAATTGCAATCCCATGATGCCTGCTTAACAACGTGCCTGACTCATTTAATAATGAAAAAGCACCTGTGGGAAAACCATGAACTGGATGACAGAGAATCTCCATAAAAATAGTCCCTCGTTAATTCCACAAAGTCTCTTACCTATGCCAGCCTGGGCCGTTATCCAGGGCAAACGGAGATAAAGAATCACACCCCAAATATTCAGCATGCATCGGATCTTGGGAGGAAGAAAAGACAGGAGTGAAAATCTGTTCACAAAGTCTCATTATTTTATTATTAGTTACATTTTTTTATCCTGACTTTATTAGTTTTATAAATCACTCAAGGCGATGAAGATACACCTAGTCCTCTTCCTATTTTCCCCACAACAACAACAACACTGTTGAGGTGGGTTGGGCTGACCCAGAGAGGGATCGGCCCAAAGTCACCCAGCCAGCTTTCATTCCTAAGGCAGGACTAGAACTCACGGTCTCCTGGTTTCTAGGCTGACGCTGTAACCACTAGGCTAAACTGGCTCTCAGTGGCATGTATTTTTACTTAGGTCAAGGTCAAGGTTCCCCTCACACATATGCGGTAGTTGTTTCCGACTCTAGGGGGCGTAGCTCATCTCCGTATCAAAGCCAAAGAGCCAGCGCTATCCGAAGACGTCTCCGTGGTCATGTGGCCGGCATGACTAAATGCCAAAGGTGCACCTGGTTACCTTCCCACCAAAGGTGGTTCCTATTTTTTCTACTTGCATTTCTACATGCTTTCGAACTGCTAGGTTGGCAGAAGCTGGGACAAGTAACGGGAGCTCGCTCCATTAAGCGGTGCTAGGGATTCGAACCGCCGAACTGCTGACCTTTCTGATCGATAAGCTGAGCTTCTTAGCCACTGAGC